AAAAAAAAAAAAAGACAGTGAAACACATGAGGAGAGGTGGCTCCAACCATTAATGGCCAAGGTGAGCAGCACACAGATACAGAAGAATAAATTATTAACTTTAATAAAAATCACATCCTGCCTACCAATTGCTATGGAATATACTCATTCCTGTTTAAAGACTCAATTTCTCCTTCATGCTAGACAAATGGTACCTCGTTAGAGCAATTTAAACAGATACCGATAAAGGAAGCTTTTGATTAAGGTCATGAATCTGGGCTGACAGGAAAGCGATGGTGTTTCAGGGCAAATAGCCTATTTAGGAAAGAATTAAATCTGGTGGAGGGAAGGAGCTTTTAATGTGGTACTGATGAAGGAAACCAGCAACTTCCAAAGCAACTGGCTGCAGGAGGGCCAGGAGCCCACACTAGATGCACAGTTAAGGAGAAAAGGGTATTTTCTTGGGGTCTAGATCACAGTTGCCCTGTGAGAAACAACCAAAAAGAACAAAATGGCCTCTCCTCGTGTGCCTCTCCTTACTTCAAAAGGCTGTTATTTGACAGCAAATTTCCAAGAGTTTATTTACACTGGAAAATGCCTTCAAACTCCTTTTAAAGTACTCAAAAGAACACCTGATGTAACAGTGGCCATGACAACAACACCACTTTTCTTCTTTATTCTGGCCAGATCTTAGTCTCTGACCTGGCAATGCAGCTACCTTGTGAATAATATAAAATTAACAAACTGATTAATAAAATACATCTATTCGTGATGTCATCACATTGATCTGGCAGAAAGAAAAAACAAGGTCCAGACAGACAGAAATGTAAGTACTTTCTTGTTTTTCTAATTGACCTCCCTAAAGAGCATTTTTCAAACATCTACTTGAACAGTATGTTCAAGTAGAAATGGTTGGAGCAAATGGAAACACCCCAGCTTTAGTGCAATGACTTGAATAGGAAACTGGCATATACATTTCAGGGGACGTGTAGACAATAAACTACCAGGGCACAATGTCCAGGGGACACCTAAGAGGAGTCGATACAAAACATAGATGATATAAATGCTAAGTTCTTAATGAAATGATTTGCAGACTGAAGGAGAGATAGGCAAAATGAGAGATGTGAAGCATTTTAAGCTTCTTGGAAAAGATACTATTATTGCCTTTCATCAATTTTATTCAGTAAATATTTACTGAGCATTCACTCAATGGGGGTTGGAGGGACAGAGAGTAGTCTTGCTAATGAAAACACCACACACTAGCCCTCAGTTTGTGTGTCATTGTGCAGCTGTCCCTTCTTACAATAACTTAACCTGGGGAAATCTAGAAATGTTGGTCTCCCTCTGCCTCCTGCCTCATTTTCTGCAAATGAAAGGGACGAAGTGGCCTATTGCCAGACACATACAAAGGACTGGCCACCTCTGGATTTCCATTCTGTACACACAACAGCAACAATCAATTCTGACTGAGTCATACAGTGCTGCTTCCAACCTTTTAACAAAGGTTAAAGCTATTTGGTAAAATTAAAGGGAATATGTGTGTATGTATATTGGGGGGAAGGGGTAATCTCAATTCACAGTCATTTTTTTTTTTTAATCTTTTATTTTTTTGTAGAGACAAGGTCTCGCTGTGCTGTCCAAGCTGGTCTTGAACTCCTGGCCTCAAGTGACCCTCCCGCCTCAGTCTCCCAAAGTGCTGCGATTACAGGTGTGAGCCACCACACCCAGAGGCACAGTCACATTTTTAAAAGCTTGAAATGTAAATCAGACTAGTTTCTTTGAAGGACCCTTAACCTTATACATTCACCTTCTCTTACCTGGGTGTTGTCCTCTCCTTACTTCAAAGAGATGTTACTTAAGGACAAATATTCCCCAAGATCTACTTATAACCAGATATCTCTGCCACTACCTGAGCATCATTTTCCCCCAGACGTGCTCTCCCTTTTCCCCTTGCAGGCCATCTCCCCTAAGACCCCTTCCCAAAGAGACTCTATCTTCACCAAGCTGCTCAAATCCCAGTGAGAAGCAAAATCCCCTCTCCTCGATAGTCTCTAGAACCAATGTGCCCAATATGTTTTTGCCATCCCACTTAGGAACCTCAATTACACATAGCCTTTCTCACCTACCCTGGCATCCACCATGACTTAAAGGCATGCACACGTCCACACACAAAGCTATAGGAGAGTCTCTAATCCAGCCTGGAGCACAGCCACACCACATGCTCCATTGGCTGCACCACCTGTCAAGCTTCTCTCTGGACCAGCTTCTCCACAGCAGCTGACGAGTAACTGCCCTTCAATTAGTCTACCACTTGTGAATAAACTGTATTTCCTATCACCCTCAAAGGATGCTTCACACCCTTTCAGTCACCAATCTGTTACCAAATTTCATTCCAGTTTACCAGTGATCCAACAGAGGATCCAAAATGCAAGCCTGCTGGTGTATTAGGTTGAATATAGTGTTCCCCCCAAAAATCATGTCCACCCAGAGCATGTGAATGATCTTATTTGGAAACAGGGTCTCTGCAGATGTAATTAAATTAAGACGAGGTAACATTAGATAGGGGTGGGCTTTAATCCGATGACTGATGTCCTTACAAAAAGAGGGAAATTTGGACACAGACATACAAAGAGAAAAGGTGTAAGAAGAGAATGGAGTTAATGCTGCCACAAGCCAAGGAACACCAGGGATTGCCAGGAACCACCAAAAGTTATGAGAGGTAAGGAAGCCAAGTGCTGTCAAAGGGAGCATGGCCCCGCTGACACTTCGACTTTGTACTTCCAGCCTCCAGAACCGTGAGAGAATTTCTGTTGTTTTGAGCCACCCAATTTGTGGTAATTTGTTACAGCAGCCCTAGGAAACTAATACAGCTGGCAAGTCAAGGTAAACGCAAATGGAGCTGCTAATTGCTTGGTGCTTGATGCAAGCTCCCAGACACTTTACAGTTTCTCAGAAAGCATCTGTGGAAACTGTGAGTAACCCTAAAAAATAGGCAAAGCAAAATGCTAGTTTCAACTAGATCAGTGAAATCCTTTGGGCTTAACGTAAACAGTGAACAGAACAATGAGCCAATACAGCTGGGTGTTTCTGAAAGAAGGTATTGAGAAAACACCATGCAAAATCCTGAGGACAATTAGGCCTGATTGCTGTAGCAAAGAGCCCCTCCCTCACTTACAAAACGGCCCCAGGACCTTAATACTTATTAAGAGCCAAGAAAACGCAATGCTCACCACTACTTCTAACTGGTTTAAGGCAGCAAAAGAGTCCCACCTACTGAAGGACCACCAAGAGAAGGCACTTCTGGAAAAATTCCAATTTTATATTTAAAACAAGTTTCCACTCTCTTAGTAGGATTATGGCAGAAGAGAAGAGAGTCCATGGCCAACATCTCTCTGTAAAATATGCTTGTTTCCCCCAAGGGGAAGTGAACTGTATTCTGTTCAATCCAGGCACCAGCGATTCAAATAACCAGACAGCCAGTGGCCTCAGACCACACAGGCAAGCATACCTTTTGCTCCATGATTAACAGAGGAGGGAGGTTCATCGTCAGACGTGGAGCTGAGGTTCAGGCCAAGCTCTGCAACTCTTTTTTTCTGTTTCTTGATGGGGGCAGTGCACTCTGGGTCTGTTCTCCTCCTCATTGTTAACTGCAACCATAAATCCAGACAGTCAGCTGCCCTTGGGTCAGAGCCACTGTGATCAGAGTAGGAATTCCAAAGTATAAATCATCAATGAGATGAGATTTGGCAACTCTACACATCTTTCAGTGCCAGCACTTGAATAGCCTCTTGCTCAGAATGAGGTCTAGGAAGGATGCTAGCCAAGCTCTGGTTTTCAATAATAGCTGTTAGTTTTACTGGAAAATATGGTGCTCACAGACCCAGAGGCCTCTGGGCCATTGGTGACACATACCAAAAAGTCACAGATCAACCCCACAAGCCACAGGGGGAAAATGGCCTTGGGTACTTGTTATTCTATATTCTTGATCCAACACTGGCCCTGCACGGCAGTTCACACTGGAAATGAATTTAAAAACCTAATAAATAGCAACCAATAGGTGAAGGGACCATCCCAGAATGATTGTTCTATCATCATTATTATTTTACCAAAACAATTAAGAGATTATATGATAAATCCTAGGTTTTGGTTTACTTCATGATGTCTGAAAATATGAAAGAATTGTGAAAGTTTTTAAGCAGGAGTAAGGAATAAAACCAGTGGTTGGCCTAGAACTGAGGAAAAAGAAGAGTGGGAAAACTGTTGGGACTGGAGGTAGCTATATCACAGAACTAAGGTACAAAAATAGTAATTTTAACAATTGGAAACCACCTCCACAAAAAAGAATGGAAACAGGCAGGCCCCATGCCACCATCACACATGCCCATGGTAGGTACATGAGAGGTAAGCATGAGACAAAAATCAGATGGAATGAAGTGATTATGAGACCCTGAAGTCTTAAGGAACGATCAAGTTAAAGAGCAAGAAAGAGTGGCGAATACACTGTGGCTTACACGCAACTGACTGGCTATAGAGAACTCAGAAAAAAGAAAGGACTCAAAACAGGGTGGGTGACCAGCTGGGCTGCAAACCTCGAGGAAGGGGAGGTGCAAGGGTACAAGAGCAGCATTATAGTATGGGTCACAGTAGCCACGGCAGAAAAGCAACGAAATCCAAAGGTGCCACCAATCTCCCTAACCTCACAAAACCCTGGATCACACGTTTCGGTACTCTCCAGCTCAAGGGTGAGCCAGTCAACACAATGCATAGTTGCATCCTTCCTAAGGAGGCAGCTTCTTACTAGGCAGTGAGGGGCTAACCTGGGAATTAGGGAGAACAGGAGACACTGAGAAAACAGAAAGGAAGATCAGGCTGAGCCACATTTCACTTTAAACCATAGTCTTAAATTTGCCCCAAAAGGCCCACAGGTGAGCCCATCACAGAGCCTGCTTCTAGCCACAGCAAACGGAAAAAAGGCTCCTCTGATTCCTAAGCGACTATGATGGAGATTGGAAGTACATGAAACTCAATGCGGACTGTGTTGGGCTGGGGTGGGTGCAAGATAAAGGACGGAAATAGTTATATGAAAGGCAGCAGATGCTCAAGCTCCTCTCCAAGCCACATCACCTTAGATTTGGGCCTTCCAAATCACCCAATGCAACCCTCCTCCCATTTTCCACTGGAAAAGGTTGAGGCCTGGGAGGAAAAGGCGGCACAGCTGACCAGGGCCCAGCTCAAGTGGCCTACACACGCCAGAAGAACGTGGTCCGGCAGAGTACTTCTGAGTGGAAGGCAGGAGACCTTGTCTACCTGCTGCTGCCCCACAGAAGGGGTTCAAATCTGCGGTCTTCCCTCCCTGGGCCTCGGTTTCGCACTGCCACCTATCTTCGCAGGGGAAGAGGTGAGCTCCCCTCTCCCCGGGCAGTCTCTTCATTTGAAGATAACGTGAGTATGTGAATGTATGCGCAGACACGCATGTCAGCGGCAGCTCTGGCTCCAGGGAGCTGGCGTGGGGGTGGCGAGACAGGAGGGGAGACGGCAGGGGCCAGGAGGCGGAAGAGTCACGGCCGCGGGTGGAGGGCCGAGGCGGCGGTGGAGGGGAGAGGGATGCGGAGCCCGCGCGCCCGCCCGCTCGCTCCCCCCGGGCCGCGCGTCGGCACTCACGCTGAGGGGAGAAGGCGAGCTGCCAGGGAGCGGAGAGGGGGCGTCAGGCCGACGCTGTCGCCGCCGCTGCCGGGCCTGGCCCTGCAGCTGCCAGACCCGCCGCCCTCTCCCTCAGTTTCGTTTTCCCACAAGCAAGTCCGGGTCCGCCCGCCGCGCCGTCGCGCTCAGGTCCCGCTCTGCGGGCTGCGCGGTCTGATGACGTCATCGGGCAACCACCACCACCCTCCCACACACACCCCAAGCCCCTCCCCCTCTCGGCCCGCTCCGGGCCCTGGGAAAGGCCGCTCAGGTCCTGGCCCGCCCCACCCTCAGCCTGGAGCCAGGGCGCCTGCGCGGAAGAGTCGCCCGGGAAAGGATGCAAGAGCGAAAGTAACCTCCTGTCTCCTCTTGCGGCTCTGGGGAAGGGAAGCCGAAATAAATTAAAAGTGCCAGGTGCCCTCGCACTACTTCATTTTACTTAATCTAATCACAGTCTTCAGTTTGCAGATTAAGAACGAGTCCAGAGAGGTAGACTGTTGAGGTAAACGGGTCGAGGGCAGGAGCCCAGTGTTCTTGTTCACCGCTGTGTCCCCAACATCCAGCATACAGGCCACGCTCAAGAGATGAGGAGCGAAGGACGGAGGAAAGAAGGAATGCCGCCTGTATAGCCTCTTACCATATGGACACAGACGGCCCTCCATCTCAAACCCCTCTTCGATTTTCACACCGATATGGCCAAAAGTCTGTTAGACGTCCTCACTCTGTCATAAATTCAAATTTTATGAATCAAATTTTATAGCTTCAAATTCAAATCCCATAATTCAAAGTTTGCCCTACGTTCTTCTCCCATAAGCCCAATCTTTTTCCCAGTGAATGGACTGCCATCCATCCTGTTGTTCCAACCAGAGATCTGAAGAGTCTCCGTCTTCCTCATTCCCCAGAGCCCCTAATACTCTCAGTTGAGTTTACCTCCTAGTTGTCTCTCAAATCTCTCCGTTCACCTCCACCTTCATTGCCACAGCTCAGCCAGGCGCTCGCCCTCTCTCAGCAGGATTCCTCCAGCATCTCCAAATCATCGTGCCTGTTTCCAGTTGTGATCCCTCTGATGCATTCTTCACAAAATCAAAGTGACCTTTTAAAAATTAAATGTGATCCTGTCACAACCAATCAATGATTAAAACCCATCAATGACTTCCCACTGTTCTTAGGATAAAGCTAATATCCTTAAGGTGGCCTACAAGTCCCTCCAGTGTGACGCCTTCTTCAACTGTGTTTTTGTACTGCCCACCCCTTAGTTCTCCCCATCCTGGTCTTAGGATGTTAATAAACGTCACTTAAGGATTCATGTCCCTGCCTGGATCATGTTTCTCTCTGTCTTTGTTTGGTTAATGTCCACTTATCCCTCTGGTCTCAGTTTAATGTCCTTATCTCTAGAAATCTTTCTTGACCCCACAAGTCTAGGTTGGGGATCCCCTCTGAGCTTCCATAACACTCTGTCCTTCCACTATCAAAGCACTTACTGCAATGTCACGTGACCGCCCGTTGACTCACCTGCCTCCCCCACTCAGTTGTAAACTCTGTACAGGAAAGGTTACGTCTGTCTGCACTAAATTCACAAGAGTTTACATGGTGGCTGGTGGTAGGTGCTCAACAGACTGTGGGAGTGTGGAAGATGGATGCAGGTTGCACGATGTGCTCGAGGTCACAGAGCTAAGGGGCAGAAAGCGCATTTAACCCAGCTCTCTGTGGTTCTAAAGCTGAGTGTCCTTCTGCTTCACCAAGGCTTCTTAACATGTGTTGTCACCTGGGTACCTTTGGTAATCTTGTGAAGCTTATGGGCACATTCTCAGAATAATAATTTGAAGGGCATACATTTAAAGATATGTGATTACAAAAGAAATGAATTATTTTGAGAATGTTAACATATTTAGGAAATTTAATGATTTGTTTTAATTTTGATATAAAGCATTAAATAATAAGAGACTGCATTCAACGTATGGCAAGTTGAAGTTAAATTTTATTTTTCAGTAAATATGAATGTATCCAGTGAATAGCGCTGGAATAACCACATAAACATAGGGAAAATATGAACCGTGACTCTTACATTATCCTACATGCAAAATTAAGTCAAGATGGATCATAGATCTAAACATAAAATCTAAAATGATAAAGCACATAAAAGGAAACCTAGAAAAATATATTTTCAGCCTCAGGGTAGACAGAGATTTTTTAACACTGGACCCAAAGAGCATTAAACAAAAAGAAAAATAATGATAAAATGAACTTCAAAATAAAAGTCTTCTGCTCTTCAAAAGACACCACTAAGAAACCGAATAGGCAAACCAGAGACCGAGAGGAAAACGTGAACACAATACACAATTGAACACAATACATATATCTGACAAATGACATATCCAGAAATGTACATAGAATACCCAGGAAGAAGAAAAACAGAAGTTTCCGATTCCTGTCAAAATGGAGAAAGCACATTCCATCCTGTTTGTCCCAGTTAACAAAATTTAAAACCTTGGACAGAATGCATGGAACAACTACCTGAGGATTTTGAAAAGTAAATGGTAGGATTATGGGAGAAGGTAACCAGAAGTCAAAGAACCACCAAATTAAGGGTGAGTTTCCCAATTTTCCCCCTCTGACATTTCCCAGCATAGAATGAAAAGCAGCCTAAAATGTACATTTTTTGCACAACAATGTAAATATAGTTAACACTACTGAATTGTACGTTGTTAAATTAAATTAGGCCTAAACCTGACTCTGTGCATAGCATGCTGTAACTTAATGTAACATGCAAACAATTTATAACCTAAACTGAGAGCATATTCTTTTAAAAAGTAGCTGAGTTTTGACTAATCAGATAATCATAGCAGGCAAGCTTTCAGCCAGTCACAGGCTGGAAACTGGCAAAACATGTCCGAATAAGTCAAATACCAAACTGTAACCAATCAGGCAATTTTTGTATGTCACTTCCTTTTTCTGTCTATAAATACAGCCTGCCCACCTTGCTGGTTTAAGGTGCTGCCTGATTCATGAATTGTTTCTTTGCTGAAATAATCTCTGCTAAATTTAATTTACCTGAAGTTTTCTTTTTTTTGAGACAGAATCTGGCTCTGTCACCCGGGCTAGAGTGCCGTGGCGTCAGCCTCGCTCACAGTAACCTCAAACTCCTGGGCTCAAGCGATCCTCCTGCCTCAGCCTCCCGAGTAGCCGGGACTACAGGCATGTGCCACCATGCTTGGCTAATTTTTTCTGTGTATATATATTTTTAGTTGTCCAGCTGATTTCTTTCTATTTTTTAGTAGAGACAGGGTCTCACTCTTGTTCAGGCTGGTCTCGAACTCCTGACCTTGAGTGATCCTCCCGCCTTGGCCTCCCAGAGTGCTAGGATTACAGGCGTGAGCCACCGCGCCCGGCCTGAAGTTTTCTTTTAACAACACTTAAAAATGGTTAAGATGGTAAATTTTCTGTTATGTGTTTTTACCATAATTAAAAGAACAGCCATAATCTAAGACTTAGGAGTGAAGACTCTTAAAATGAATAGAAAGATAGTAAGTCTCTACAGAGTAATAGAAGATAATAAAAACAAACTAAATGGGAATTTTAGAATTAAAAAACTCGGTGTCAGAAACAAAAATTTCACTGACGGTCTCAGTAGCAGAATGGAGATGGCAGAGGGAGAGTTACTAAATTTGGAGAGAGATCTATGAAAAGTACACAACCTGAAAACAAAGAGAAAAAAAGCATTAGGCCTTTCCTCCAAAAGGCCTAATGCTCATATCATCAGAGTCCTACAAGGAAAGTGTGTAGAAAAAATATTTGGTGCAGAAAAAATGTTTGAAGAACTAATGACTGAAAGTGTCCAAAAGATGGCAAAAGACATAAATTTACAGATCGAAGAAGCTCAGAAACTCCAAAATCGTAAATGCCCAGAGAAATCCACTCTCCAAAGCATCGTACTTAAACTGCCGAAAACTAAATGCAAAGAAAATATCTTGAAAACAGCCAGAGAAAGTTGTTAGAATCAAAATAGAGTTACTTGAGTTAAAAACCCCAACAAATAGAGCCAGGAAAGCCCATGAAGGGAAGGTACTCATGCATAAATGCCTGATAACAAGAGTTATCACAAAAGACTGCAAAATCACAACCTTGCACAAAGGCCATCACAACCTAACAACAACAACAATACTTCTGCAAGGACATCTGTCCAGCATCTGCCTCTCTAACCTCCAACTGACATCAACCTTGTTGTTGATCCTCGTAGCCAAGGATAATCATCTCAAAACAATTTTGCAATTCTCTTCGTTTTTCCTTAAGATATTTTTGTCTTGGCCAGGTGTGGTGGCTCGCACCTGTAATCCCAGCACTTTGGGGGGCCAAGGCAGGAGGATTGCTTGAGGCCAGGAGTTCAAGACCAGCCTGGGCAAGATAGCGAGATCCCGTATCTACAAAAAAAATTTAAAATTAGCCAAGAGTGGTGGTGCATACCTGTAGCCCTAGGTGCTTGGGAGGCTGACACAGGAGGATCTCTTGAGCCCAGGAGTTGAAGGTTGTAGTGAGCTATGATGATGCCAATGTACTCCAGCCTGGACAACAGAGCATGAATCTATCTTTTAAAAAAAATTTATTTTCCTTTACCTGCCTAAATATGCACATGGTTTATTATGGCACCCACATTCCCGTTGTAATGCCTATTCCCAAATAAACATATTTTCTTTTAGAGAGTCTCCCTCTCTGTTTATTATTTAGGTGGACAAAACTGCGCATCACATATAAGGGAAAACAATTTGAATGACTGTGGATTTCACATCGGAAACCATGGAGGCCAAAAAAGTAGTGGAAAAAAGTGTTCAAGTCCTGAAAGAAAATGACAGCCAATGTGGAATTCTATATCCAGTGAAAATATCCATCAGGCATGAAGGCAAACTAAAGACATTCTCGGAGGAAGGAAAACTAAGAGAATTAATCACCAGCACGTATTTTGTGAAATAAAGGCACAAGGCACTTATTCAGGCTGAAAAGAAATGATAACAGAG